CAACCATTATATCAATAAGAGCATATATAAGATTTCCCAGATGCATTTGCATAGCAATGTTTTACAAGTTTGTAATAATTTCAGAGGTGGCTTGACAATGAAGACCTTGTCTAAAATCAATGGAATAAGAATAATCAAAATCAAACATGAAAACAAGAACACAAAACATTAGACAATTGCAGACACTAAATAGTCCTTAAACAGCTACATAGAGACATTAAAATCCAAAGTAACAAAGGAAGCATATGAAATTCGGAACATAACATGTGACTTCTAAATGCAAATCATGTACCTTATAATATGGAACATATGACTTCCAGAAAGCATCACTACAAGAACAGCCCAGAGGCAACCATCATCAACACAAACAACATGCAATACTCTAAGTTTGAAGTATTTATCTTATAATGAAAATGATTTGTAATTGCACACATCTTTAATTGGTTAAATCTAAAGTATTTTTATTTTAATATATAGCATTGTTGACTATATGAGTAAGATGGAAGTAAGAAAAAACTTCAAAATCAGGAACAACACACGAAAAATCAAAATGAGAGGCTGGATCAAAACCGGGAGCTTGATTTGAGGAACACAATTAAAGATGAAACAGTATTGATATGAATAATTAAGTTATGTTCTGAATCTTCATTGGAAGAGGAATATATGTCTTCTAAATTCAGTGAATCAATACATATAGGACTTAAATGATTAAAACAAGCAGAACAACTAATACACAAACTCATATACTATGAACTTCAAATCTGTTGATGCAGAAGAATGTCGAAGTACATTATACAAAAGTGATAAAACGTCCACATAATTTTGAAGTGCTGTACACAATATAGCATAACAATATAATTTCAGAGTGTGAAGAAAACTAAATGACAGAATAAATAAACAATGTAATTCCAAAAATACGGAACACAAAACCGTAATTAGAAAACACAACATACAAACTTACAACACAAATTCGCAGAAGAAACGATCCACAAATTGTGGTGAAGCTCAGCCGGAAGTTTGCAGCTAACTCCTATCGGAATGAAGATATACTGAGTCAGAATTGTTGGAGATTGAGTTCGAATTAGTAATGCAAACTAGACAGCGAAAGTCCACAGCCAAGCTTGAAGAAGATCGAGCGGATGATCTTGTTTCCTTCCATGCATGGCCGAAGTAGTATGCGGTTAGGTCGTTAGCAGAGAGCACAAGGAATAAAAGCGGAAGTCTATTACGAGTCATGAACAATCAAGGGTATTTTAGGTAAGTTAGATTTGAGTTTCCTAAACGGAAATTGTCCTAAATAGGACTAAAAAGTTCCTAAAAAGCACAAATAGGACTACTATTTTTAAAATTCCCTAAATAGGACTAAACATTGATTTTCTACCCTAAATACCCCTAAGAGTATAAATTCATAATGAAATGCTTTAATTCATAATAAAATCACAAAAAACGTAAAAAAATATTTAAAAAACGTAAAAAAATTAAAAAAAATTATAAAACATTTATAAAATAAAAAATTTAATTTTTTATTTTTTTAATTTTTTTTAAAAAATAATAAAAAATAGTAAAAACCCATAAAAAATGAAAAAAATTATGGATATCTTTCTCACCGCCTCCCGGCGCCTCCTAGCACCACCACCTCCGATTGGTGAAATTTCTTCCACTTTTGGTAAAAAAATGCCATATTTTTCTGAAAATGCCAAAAAGATGGCATAATTACTGATGGATAGTCTGCCCGGGGGGTATCTTATCCGAGGGGTTATTGCGGGAATAACTAGAGAGAAGTCAGAGCAAAATAGGAGGAGAGAGAGTCGATTTATTAAATGAACTCAGCGTGTGGAGTTGAGGTGTAGATTGTGTCCATTACAAGGAGAAATGGGCTGCTATTTATAGCAGCAATAAATGCGATGAGAGTACACGTGTCAGTAATCCAACGGCCGAAGGGTCACATCAGCCTGGTGGCACCGGCATTGGTACGTTCACCGCATTAAATGCGGTTGGCGGATGTGACGTGGCATTAAATGCGGTGGTTGGCTGTCCCCAAAAGGAATCTTCGATGATTGAGCATGCTTGGCCGAAGGCTTCTTGTGTAGCCGAGGGCTCCGTGTAACCAAGGACCCCTGTGTAGCCGAAGGCCCGAGTGGCAGAGGGCTAAGTTCAGCCGAAGGCTCCCCTGATGCCGAGGGCTTGGTAATGCCGAAGGCTCATGTTTTTCGCCGTTTTCTCCCAGTGGCTTTTTATGCCAGAGAAAGCTACCCTGTGAGGTTTGGGGCCTCCGGCCAAGGAGGCCGAAGGCACCCCAGTGCGTATCCTGGGCCACGTTGAGGCTTGGGCCGCTGCATTTTGGGCCTGAGTTGTTCCCTGGGCTCCTTGAACTTGTGTAGGAGAAGTAGGAGTCTATGGGCCGGGGGTTCTTGGGCCATATACTCCATCAGGAGTCCCTCACTCCTTTTGCCGAAAGGTACTTGAGGGAAAAGGAGTAGTTGTGTTGATTCCTCCGGAGGCTTCATCGCCTGTCTGGGTGCCTTTGTTTGAGAACTTGCCTTCTGCTGATTGCCGAAGGCTTCCCTCAGTCCCTCACATGTCGAGGGTTTTCTGAGGGAAGGTATTCGTAACCTTCGCATGTTCGCCGGGGGCTTCCCTCAGTCCCTCACACGTCGAGGGTTTTCTGAGGAAAGCATAGATGTATTGTCTGCATGTATTGTGATGAGGGGTTGTACTGTGATGTTTGCCCGGAGGCCGTATGCGTCAATTGTAAATTGTTGCATGAAGAAATTTTTGTTGTGTATGATTCCCGAGGGGTGTATCCCAGTCCCCCACTCCTTTAGGCCGAAGGCAAGTTTGGGCTGAAGGAGTTATGATGAGTTGATGAACCCCCCGAGGGGTGGTTACATTGATAAGCCGAAGGCCTATGTTGCTATGGGCTCGAAGGCGTTTGGTGGAATTCGTTGCCTGAAGGCTGTGGTGAGTGATAGCCGGAGGCTATCATTCGGGGGCATCCCAGTGTTTCTGAAATACAGCCGTTGCAATATGGCCGTTGGAAGAGGGGTTGACGTGGCATGCCTCCGTTGGTCGGTGGGGGGCGGGTGCTATCCATTGGTTGAACCGGCGGCCCGTAATGATGGGCTTTCAAATCGAGGCCCATATATCGAGGCCCAGTTGCCTATAAATACCCTGAGCCTGAGCTCATTTGTGCTTGTGCGATTTTGAGAGATAGCGAAGCTCTGGCAATTTGATTCTAGAGAGAGAAAGTTTCACCCTCGGTCCCAATCGAATTCTGAGGTCAGTACTTCCCCAGCCTTCCGACTTTCTTAGCATACTTTGCTAGTTTCTCAGGTTTAGTTGTAGTGACTTTAGGGGCCTTCGGTTAAAACGCTTAGATAGTTCCCCTTTTCCCCCGTCAAGATGTCTTCCGGCAGTGACTCCCAAAACATATCGGAGGAGGCCCCGGCACAATCGGAGAGCTACTCAAGCGTGGAATCATCCAGTGAGCAGCCATCGGCAGGAAACGACGCCATGATAGCTGAAGAGGTCCAAGGCCAACTCCGCACTGAGCTAGAGGCGGAGGAATTTGAACAGGTGGTGGCAGATGAGGAGATGGCCCTCGCTCTCCAAGTCGCCGAAGAGGAAGAGGAGAAGGAGCGCCGCCGGGTATCGGTTGCCGTCATGCCCTCACGGGGAGCTGGTGAGGCGAGCACTTCCCGGCCGTTGGATGTTCAACCCCTCCGGGTAGCCGAGGGCAGGAAGAGGAAGAAAGCGAGGGCTGCCCCAAAGAAGAAGCAGGCAGCCGTTGACGCGGGGCGGCCAGTTGGGATTCCCGAGGGCCACTCCTATCTGGACACCACTGCCCTCGAGGTGAAGACCACGGTCTCGAGTGCCGAGTGTCATGCCCTGCAGGTCCTTGTGGGACCGTCGGCGCAGGTTGTGGAGCCGAGTCCGGAAGATTTGCTGTCTAACCCCCCGGAGGGGTGTTTCTCGGTGCACACTTTGTCCGTGGAGCTAGGGCTCAGGTTCCCCCTACATCCCTTCGTCCTGCAGTATCTGAAATTCGTGAAGCTAGCCCCATGCCAGCTCACGCCGAACAGCCACTATTACTTGGCAGGCTTCCTGGCCCTCTGTCGTAGCCGGAAGGTGGAAGCGACACTGGAACAGTTCTTCTTATCCTTTAACCTGTGCCGGGGAGGCCACTCACACGCCGGGGGATACGCCAACTTGCAACAGGTCCCAACTTGGAAATTGTTCTCCGAGACCCCCTCCTCCCATAAGGAATGGAAGGAGAAATTCTGCTACATCAGGCTGGCTGAAAATCCATTCCCGAGGGCGCTGAATAATCATTTCAAAAGGCACCCCAAGGTAGGCAACGCGGCCCTCGATAAGGCAGGAAGGAAACTAATTGAGAAGCCCGCGGGTTCTGAGAAAGTAATCGCTATTAAGGAAGCGACGCTGCCCGAGGAGCTCTACTTGTTAGGGTTCCGAAGATACCGTCTCCCGGGGGAAAAGGACGAAAAATACCCTAGAATCGACCGAGGGTATCTGAATGCCAGAGGTTGTTCACCGAGGGCTCATGTTGTGTTACTTAGAAAATTTTTCTTGTCTTCTTTTGACCCTAATCCTTCCCCCTTTTTTTTTTTTGCAGGTGACATAATGGATGTCCAAGCCTTCGCCAGATTGACAAAGAAGCTGGCCAAAGTGCCGAGGAAGAAAAAAGACGAGGGGTCCCCGAACCAGCCCCTCGTTGATGAGGCGTTGAAGAAAGCAGGGACCGCCAAGGTCCCGGAGGGTGGGGGCCCCTCCCAAAAACCCGCTGCTGATTCCGGTGCTGGTGCCGGAGGCTCCCAAGATGGGGAGCTAAAGCGAAAAAATGCTGGGAAGGGGGTCGTGCCCCCGGAGAAGAAGAAGAAGAAGATGGGGGGGGCCGAGAAGACGGACGCCCCCGTTGTCATCGTCGAAGAGCACTCTTCCTCCTCCCCTTCGGGAAATATCCTCCCTCCTCCCGGGGGCCAGGATAACAGCCTGGCTTGGCCCCGGGATGATGTGCAGTTCTCTATTACCAAGGGAACTGCCATCATGCATGGCACCCTCAACCCGAGGGAGTTCCTAAAGGGTGCCACGCCCCCGACTGACAAGTCGGTGCTGTCGAGGGCCAAGGATGACGCCCTCAGCGCCAAGGTGCTCCAAGCCTCTGTCACCGTAAGTCTCGCTCAGCTTTTGTTTAGTTGGTGATTTCGGCGTATACATTTTTTTTTTTTTTTACTTCGCCAAACTGATTTTTGTTGTATGATGGTTTTGATCTGCAGGCTGCCCTCGGTCTTGGAGAGCTGCTCCAGAGGATGGAGCAGTATCAGGCGCAGAAGCGCCAGGCTGATGAGGCCCTGGCGGAGTCCCGGCGGCAACTTCAAGAGGCTCAAGAGACCCTTCGGCTGGAGCAGATGGCGTTCAATAGCATCCTCGAGAATAACAAAGTGATCGCCAGAGCCGAGGGGAAGGCTGACGCAGAGAGGGCCGCTGCCGAAGCAGCCAAGATTGCCGCCGAGGAGGCCGAGGCAGCCAAGAAGGAAGCTGTTGCCGAGGCTGAGAAGAACGCTGTCGCCGCCTTCGTCGCTGAGGGTTGGAGGGCCGAGGACCGGAAAGAATGGGTGGCCTCGGTCATAGAGCAGGGCGTCGAGGGCTGGGTGGCAGGCCCCGGATCTGAATGGATGGCCCTGAAGGGCAAAAATTATTTCGATGGGGGTGAATTCTTCACCCAGCGCCTGATTTATAGGAAGCTGGCCGGCCACTTCGGTATTGATCCTAGCAAGTTCGACCCCTTGGCCTACGGTCTTCCCCCTCGGCAACCTGATGTTCGAGTCCCCCTCCCGGAGGGTGAAGAGAGGCGCCAGCTCGCAGATTCCGAGCTGATGAGGGAATGTGGTCTTGAAGATGAAGATGAAGTTGAGGATGACGCTGCCTCAAAGATGAAGGAGGATGCAGCTGATGGGGCCCAGACTTAGCTATCTGCGTATGCATAGACCTTGTAATAGATTGTAGGCCTCGGCTTCGGTCAAACATTGTAATCAAATATCTTCCGTATGTTGATACTCTTCCTTTTTTGAATGAATGCGATATGCCTCCGGGCTTCTTCAATGAGTGGTTGCCATCGTTTCTTTTTGTGTTTGCGTATGAATGATTTTTCTTTTCTTGAATGAATGTTTGTTTTCCCGGAGGCCACAAATTTGTGGACTTAGAATTTTTTTCTAAGTGTAACTCCTTGCTAGCCCCCGGTTGTAGTGCAGTATCGCCGGGGGGTCGTTGTCGTGGACTTAGAAAATTTTCCAAGTAAACTTGACCAGAACCCTTCGGATGTAGAGTAGAATCATCGGGGGGTTTGTGATTGTGGACTTAGAAACTTTACTAAGTAAGATCCCGGAATATGTCCTCGGTGACTAGGCCCTCGGCAGTGACGAGCCTCCGATCGTAGTGTAGCTTCAGGTTATTGCCCAGTAGTTTAGGTGGGCCATCGGCTGTAAGCCTGTGGATGTAGATGGCTTTCCGGTTCGACCCGAAGGGTCTTCAATTGTGGACTTAGTCAAATTTCCACAATATTCCAATAGTAGTTGTAGTGAACCTTCCGGTATGGGAACTGCTCTGAGCCCCCGGTACATATGGTTGCCGAGGGGTTCGAGATTATGGACTTAGTGACATTCTGAGATTTGTTTCCCATAGAGTGACCCTTCGGTTCATGAGTCTGCTTCGAAGGGCACCAAATTGTCATCATTGAGTGAGTTTGGTAGTATTCCGCCTTCGTCGGTATGAACCCTCCGGTTTGTGTAGGTATAGATTTAGCTTGCCTTAGAACCTTGTGGAGCCTTCGGCATGTCACATAGTTGACTTTGATCCAACCTAAATTCGGCCTTAGCCAAATTTAGGTGAAGTTTTGCTTAGTGAGCTCTCTTCTTGGGCTTCCGGGGAAACCGTTGTACTCCAAGGCTTTATGTAGTGAAGCTTTCGGCTATGTAGCCAGATGACTCGATGTTGAGAGATTTTCTTGTGCATTTGTAGCAGCTTTCGGCAATGTATATCCGAAGTGTTGAGCCTCCGGGGAGAATAGTATCCGGGGAGTTCCTTCCCCCCTACACATCTCTTTTTTTTTTTTTTTTTTTTTTTTTTTTTTTTTTTTAGGATGGTGTAGGAGGGGCATCTAGAAACTTGGTTTCTAGGAAAGGCTTGGCCTATATGGGAGGCAACGGAATAAACCGTTGGCTCCCCCTTCGGGAATGACCTTCCGATATCCCGAAGGGTTTGAGGGTCGTTTCCTCGGCCCGAGACATCGTCTGTTGCCTGCTTCCCCTTGGGAGATAGCACGGAAAGCGCCTCGGTTTTGAAAGTCGTCCCCTCAGCCCGAGACATGGTCTGTTGCCTGCTTCCCCTTGGGGGATAGCGCGGGGAGCGTTTCGTTTGTGGAAGTCGAATCCTGGGCCCGGGACATGGTCCGTTGCCTGCCTCCCCTTGGGGGATGGCGCGGAAAGCGTTCCTGGGAAGGGTTTTATTTGCGTGTGGAACACGAATAGCCGGGGGCACTTGGTACCAGCCGGAGCCGAGGGGGGTTGCACCCCTCGGGGGTTTTTTTTTTTTTTCTTTTTTTTTTTTTTTTTTTTTTTTAAGGAGAGTATGTAAAAGTGTGCATAGTGTATGCATGATTGCGTCCTCGTGGGGTACGGCTTAGTGAGAAAACACTTGGTGTTTTCAAAGGGTGATGGGGGTGACCCATACACTTGGTACTTGGTACCTAAATTGTTGTTCCCCCTCATAAGAGGGAGTGGCCTTGGGCCTTTCATGGTGAAGAGATGAGGGCTTGGCCACTCATTTGTAGGAGAGAAGGGGGGCCTTGGGCCGCTTGTACAGTATGTAGGTGATGAAGGCTTGGCCTTTTGATTATTCTTCAAAAACAGATGGGGCCTTGGGCCATTGATATTTACACTTGCTGAGGATGAGGGCTTGGCCGTTCATGCCTTATTGATAGAATTTGACAAGGTGGTGCACATTCCAATGTCTAGGGACCTCCGTCCCATTGGGGCGTTTAAGCTTGTATGTCCCTGGTTTGATGATGGCTGAGATGATGTAGGGGCCTTCAAACTTGGGCGCCATCTTTCCTCCTTCGGTGGGTAGACTGGCCTCCCTTCGTCGGAGGACGTAGTCTCCCACCTGGAATTCCCGGGAGCGGACCTTGGCGTCGATGTAGCCTTTGACTTGTCTCCTATAGTTTTCGGCCCTGAGGAAAGCTTGCTCTCGGCGTCCTGAGATGAGATGAAGGTCGAGGGCCATGTTGGCGTCGTTGACCTCGGGCTCATATTGTTCCACCCTTTGGGTCGGAAGGGTCACTTCTGTTGGAGCCTTAGCCTCAAAGCCATAGCATAGGGAGAAGGGTGTCTCACCTGTTGCACGCCGAGGGGTAGTGCGGTAGGCCCATAGGATGTTATGGAGCTCTTCTACCCATCCTCCCCCTTCGGCTTCCAGCTTCTTCTTCAACCCTTCGAGGAGGGTGCGGTTGGCATTTTCTACTTGTCCGTTGCCCTGAGGGTAGGCAACGGAAGAGAATGTGTGCTTGATCCCCCAAGCTTCAAGGAGGGCACAGAAGGGGGCTGCCTCGAATTGGGTCCCGTTGTCGGAGATGATTTGTTGGGGGACGCCAAACCTTGTGAGAATGTTCTTGAGGACAAAGTGACGGCACCGGGCCTCCGTGATGCTGGCGAGGGGTTCGGCCTCCACCCATTTGGTGAAGTAGTCAATGGCCACAATAATGTACCTGTTGTTGGAGGTGCCCCTCGGCAGAGGGCCTACTAAGTCAATCCCCCATCTGGAGAAGGGTATAGCGGTGCTGATGGGGGCATAGTTAACCGCTGGTCTGCCGGGGGCTTTCTGAAAGTGTTGGCAAGCGGTGCACCTCCGGGCTAGATCAGCACAATCTCTAGCCATCGTGGGCCAGAAGTAGCCTTGAACTATGAGCCTTCGGGACATGGAGAAAGGTCCCTGGTGAGCTGAGCAAGTGCCACTGTGCACTTCCTCCATGGCGATTTCGGCCTCATCTTGATGAAGGCACCGAAGGAGGGTGCCGTTGTAAGATCTCTTGTAAAGCCTCCCGTTTTCGATGGTGTAGCTGGGAGCCCTCAGCTTTGCTAACTTGGCGCGGGCTTCGTCTTGGGGCAGTTGCCCTGTGGTGATGAAGGCGATGATGTCAGAGATCCAGTCCTCCGGCCTTAGGTGGATGTCCATGACGGGGCTCGCGTGGATGCTTGAGAGGCTGAGTTCCTCAATTCTCGCAATTTTGGAAAGGTGCTCGGGGGATTCATCCGAGAGCTTGGATAGAATGTCGGCCTCAAAGTTTTGAGCCCTCGGTATCTGGGTGAGGGAATGTGCCTCAAATACCTTAAGCAATTCTTTGGCTGCTTCCTTGTATTGCTTCATCCTTCCTTCCTTGGCCTCATATTCGCCGGAGAGTTGGCCTACGACTAGCTTGGAGTCGCACTTGACGTGGATTTGTTTGGCCTTCAGATTTGCGGCCAGCCGAAGGCCACAGAGCAGGGCCTCATATTCGGCTTCGTTGTTGGAGACTTTGAAGGAGAATCGGATGGCGTAATAGGCGCGGAAGCCCTCGGGTGTGATGAGAACTACTCCCTCTCCGCATGCTTTGGTAGCCGAGGAGCCATCGGTATAGAGGGTCCACCACTCATCGAGGGGTGCCAAAGGCTCCTCATCCACCGTCGATCTTGCGGTGCATTCTGTTACAAAGTCTGCCAGGGCTTGGCCCTTGATGGCAGGCCTCGGACGGATATCTATGTTGTATTGGCTGAGGAAGATGGCCCATTTCACCATCCGAGAGGAGCTAGTGGGACTCCTCATGAGGGCGCCGAGGGGTTGATGAGTGAGCACCTGGACCGGATGAGCTTGAAAGTAGTGGCCCAGCTTCTTGACGGTCCAAACGATGGCTAGCACCGTCTTCTCGACGGGAGAATACCTGAGTTCGGCTTCCCGGAGGGTTTTGCTGACGTAGAAGATGGCATGTTGGATGCCGTCCTCTTCTCGGATTAGCACTGAGCTGATGGCCGCAGGGCTAACACCGAGATATAAGTATAAAGTTTCCCCCACCTTAGGTTTGGAGAGCACTGGGGGGGAAGAGAGGTACTTCTTGAGTTCATCGAAGGCCTCCTGACATTCAGATGTCCATTGAAAACCTGCCGTCTTCCTCATGATTTGGAAGAAGGGGAGAGCCCTCTCGGCTGACTTTGAGAGGAAACGGTTGAGGGCTGCCAGGCGACCCGTCAACCGCTGGACTTCTTTGACGTTGCGTGGGGGCTCCATGTTGACGATGGCCTGAATCTTCTCGGGGTTGGCCTCAATACCCCTTCGGCTGACCATGTAGCCTAAGAACTTTCCTCCCTGTACGCCGAAGGTGCATTTCTTTGGATTTAGCCGGAGGTTGAATTTTCGCATGATGGCAAAAATCTCCCGGAGGTCGTTGGCGTGGGTGCCTGCCTTCTTGCTTTTGACGATCATGTCGTCAACGTAAGCCTCCATAGTGCGTCCTAAGACAGCTTGGAAGACCCTAGCCACCATGCGTGTGTAGGTGGCGCCTGAATTTTTGAGGCCGAAGGCCATCACAAGATAACAGAAGATGCCTTCGGGTGTCATGAAGGCAGTTTTTTCAGCGTCTTCCTCGTGCATGTAGATTTGGTGATATCCGCGGAATGCGTCGAGGAATGACATGACCTCGCATCCCGCGGTCTCATCCACTAGTTGATCAATGTTGGGCAGAGGGAAGGGGTCCATGGGACATGCCTTATTTAGATCCGTATAGTCCACGCACATGCGGAAGGTAGGAGGCTTTTGTGCGAGGACTACGTTTGCCAACCAAGAAGGGTATTTCACCTC